CCCCCCCCCCCCCCCCCCGGTACCCTTGGCGGAAATCCGGGGGGCGAACCATCAGGGTCCGAGTTTGTTGCCTTTGGGCTTGGGGCCTTGGGGGGATCGAGGATTTCGGTGTACGTTTTAGGAATCAGGGTTTAGGATTTACCATAACCTACCAAAACCTACTTTTTTGTAGGGTCCCAAAAAATTCCATATTAGGGTTTATAATAAGAACCTACAAAAAAGTAGGTTATGGTGGCTTAAGGTAGGGCTTCGGGTTCAGGGGTCAGGATTTTGGGGTTGTCGCTGTTCAGAGCTTCGCCGAAAGGTTCAGTTCAGGCACCGATTCATGGTTGGTTCGGTACTTGGGTACCCATAGGCCCCTAAGTAGTTCCTTTTGGGGATTACCTTAAAGGGTTCTAAATATAAACCACACAAAGGAACTACTTAGGGGCCTATGGGTAGCTGTAATCCTAGGTTCGCCAACAGCCGGATAATAGAGTCTGGGCTCCCAAAAATTCAGATCTGAATGCAGTTCTGTTACGTAGGAGCCTAAACACTCAAAACCCCGTACTTAAGGGAGTCCAATCCCTTGCCAGAAGTAGTAATAGCAAACACGGTATAAGATAAAGTCAACCTCATAAACCTGGGAACATAAAAAGCACTACCAGTAGGAATAGCACCACCAGCAATCTTGGAAACACAACCGTACCCCACTTCTGCATTAGGTTGCATGGACCCCACATGCTCAAAGTACTGCTGTATTGATAGTAGCCCCCTGTGTCGATATAGCTTGAAAAACAACAAAAAAAGGAATAACAATCAATACCGCTAACAAACAAAAAACAAGATCTCGATAGCAGCAACTCATAATCCCAGAGGGCTGCGAAGCGAATCCGCTCCCGAAGTGGCCTGGTGAACTGGGCTCTGACGACCTCAGCTAAGTCAGTGGCACTGGTGGAATGCGATTCATGATAATAGGGGCCTTAGTCTGTAGAATAAGGTCGTTTTGGGAAGCCCTAAACCCAAAACCGTGGTGCATTGCAGTATCAATAGGAGGGAACTGGAAGGCGATACTATTCGTGATTATTAGGCCTCTACATCATCTAGGTTCGGTGTCGGCTTGAGGTGTAGGGCAGGGTTTACGGCGGCTAAGGAGAAGGTTTCTTGAATCGTCGGGAGGTTCCGGGTCGAAGCGTGTCACGGATCATTTTAAATGGTAACTGTACGGTTTCGGGTGTTAAGGATTCTGCTCTGCTGGTTTTTGGGATGTTTGGGTGCAAGGATTGTTGAAAAAGGACTGGGGTTCTTCCCATTTTGGACTTGGAGGGTCGGGGAACTTAGTAAGTAGGCCATAAGTAGACTTATAAGTACCCTGAAAGGGACCCTAATTCGGGCTATGATGCGTTTAAGTCGAAAAGATGACAAGTTACGAAGTCCCCCGACCCGCAAGTCTACAATCGTTTGGGTTAGGGCTGAAATTCAGCTGTGTCTGGCCTTGGACCTTTGGATTTTGGGGGTTTCGAGTATTTGATAGGCTTAGTTGCCGAATTCATAAGCACAAAAAATGTATACTTTCAGTTCTAGAAGGGATCATACTATCCCAAAAAGTTTAAAGTGTGCTCATTCAGCTACTAAGACTTAGTAGACTTCAGGGTTCAGGGTCCACCCAGCGGGTTCACTAGCTGGGACGGTTTGTATGGTATTTACAGAGTTTGCTTCGGACATGCGTAGGGTGAGGCAATGTTTTGAAGGTGTGTTGTCAGGTTAGAAGCACCGCAGTATAAACACAACGTGAAAGCTAAACTCTATAGACCCTAAACCCTAAACTCTAAACCGACTGCCTGTTTGGCAGGGCCGGGATCCTAATGCGGGTTATGATACTTAGAAGCCCTGCCATCGTGTCATAACTAACCCCTAAGTACAGCCCAACACCTCACGCGGCCCTGGCCCCTTTCTTAGAGTTTAGGGTCCTGGGTTTAGGGTTAGGATTTAGGGTTTAGGGTTCAGGGTTTAAGATTTGGGGTTCAGGGTATAGGGTTCAGGGTTCAGGGAAGCTCTCAAGTAAACGGGTTCAAGTACCCAAGTATAGTGGAGTTCGAATATACCTTGTGAAGGTTTCTGCGCCTTAACATCGACTGTTTAGGCAACACCGGACCCTGAAGTTTTTTCTTTTTAGCATACCCCTAAACGCTAAACCTTAAATTACATCCTGCGACCCAAAACCCTAAAACATAAACCCTAAACCGGGTTTAGGGTTTAGGGTTTTCGGGTTTAGGGGTTTAGGGGGTTAGGGTTTAGGGTTTAGGGTTTAGGGGAATTCTACGACCCTAAACCCTGAAGCAAAGGTCCAAACGGAAGCTGCCCAGGCGACGACGGCCACATCTGTGCCTGCTCGCAAAAACACTTCGACCAACGAACTGCTCAATCGAAACCTTTTTTTGCGCTATTGTTGGGCTACCATCAACTTGCCACGAGGTGTGTAGACCCTAAACCTTAAACCCTAAACCCTAAACATCCCTAAATCCTAAACCCTAAACATCCCTAAACCCTAAACCCGAAACATCCCTAAACCCTAACAAGGTTTCCGGGAGTGAACCACACCCATGTGCACACCGATTCTTGCCTTCCTACTTAAAGCGTGGGCAACAAGACCCACAAAACACTGCGGAAAACCCTCAGGTTTTATACAACACTGCAAGACGGTTGTACGTGATGTGTCGAAGCATCCCAACGGTTCTCTCGTGATTGCCGTGGAGGCTGAACTTGGCGGCCCGATCACCCGTTGCGCAGCTTGTACCTTTACCATGGCGCCCTTTTCTTTTCCTGGTAATAGTCGGTACGGCGTCCAGGGGTCCACCATGGCATCCAGCGTATCTTTATGCAGTGCTTGGAGTTCACGGAAATCTTCTTCCACATAACGCAGCACCCAGACCCCCGGGAGGATCTAAGAAGTAGGTCCCCTAATTTGGGACCCTAACTACTAAAGATAGTAAAGGGTACTTTATAGGAACACCCTTTAAGGGATGTATTTCTTGGATCCTCCCGGGGGTCTGGGCAGCCGAAGCAGCGGTCCAACTGCTTTGGGGGTTAGTGGTCTTCGATTTTCCTTGGGCTTCGGGCTTCGACTTGGGGGCTAGGGAGCTAATCTAAGGGGGGTTTGGGGGTTTAGGGTTTAGAGCGGTTTAGGATTTAGGGCTCAGGGCTTAGAGTTTCGTTCTCCTGAGCCCAGAGCTCTCCTTCGACCTCTTGCAGCCTGGTTTCTGCTCGGCGTTGTGCCTCTTCGGCGGCCAGCATGCGAGCGTGGTCCGCCTTCCATCTCTCGTACTCCCTGGTGTTCTGGCTCTCGCCGCGGTTGTTGGAGCCGGAGCTCTTTCCACGGCCACGCCCTTGGCCCTGGCCCCTTTTGGGCTCCACCGGCACGCTCGGAAGCCGGAGCCGAAGACTCAGCAGTCTGGCTGGTCTCAGACCAGGACCAGCCACCGCGCCAAGAGCCAGAGTTCCTGGCCCCAAGAGCCAGAACTTGCAATGCCACGTCTGGTCCCAGGCCCAACCGTCCCAACCACCATCATTTGCCATGCTGGCGACAAGTAGTCTCTGACTTCTGAGGTTTTTCTTTGCGGAGAGGGTGGGGTAGTTGTCCGGTTTTGGTCAACATATTGAAGTACTTGCTACTGGAGGCCTACCTGTGTTGTGTCACGGACACTTCGAACTTCGAAGTATCATGCATGATGGGTCGTACGTAGGGTTTAGGGTTCAGACAAGAAGGCTTCTGGGTCTGCCTAGACTGCCCAGACCCTAAATAATTTACCAAACAACCTACCCTGGTTTAAGGACGCATGTAAGGACATCACAATAAGGATCCCGAAGAAGGTAGGTTCTTTAGGGTCGGCGCCCCTTTATAATCAAGAGCAGACTATATCGGAACCCTTTATAAGGCCCAGCCTATACTACCCCTTTTAGGCCTAGGTATAAAATTTAGCCACCACGATTAAGGGGCAATAGGAGGGACCCCTAGAAGGGACCCCTAATCCTAATACCCTATATAACCCGTATATGCCCCTTATATGGTCTCATAAAGCCCCTATATAACCCCAGGGGTCCCTTTAAGGGTCTCTCCTTTAGTCCCTTGACACGGGAATCTGTTGAGGTCTGGCGTTTCCGGCTCGGGGCATCAAAAGGAGTTTGGATTAGGGGGACCCTTAGCCTAAGAAGGGTTTCCCTTTAAGGGGCCTAAACCCAAACACCCAAACCAATAAACCACTAAACCATAAACCCTAAACCACTAAACCCTACTGCCTAGGCATCATTTTTGCTTTGAGGCTGTAGGTCTATCAGGCTCTATAAGGGATCACATTATCCCAAAAAGTTTAAAATGCAGCCATTCAGCTACTAAACACTGGACCCTAGACTTAGACGCAAAGCTCTGGATCCTAAGCCCTAAACCCTTACCCTAAGACTCGAAGGACTCATAGTTTATGGCTTTTGGGCCCACTATACCAGGCTTTTGGCTATTTTGAGCCCTACCTGTAGCCGAAAAGACCTACCATTGTAGGGTTCCTTATTATGGTTTCTATATATAGTTCCTTAAAAAGGTAGGTCTTTCCGGTTACAGGTAGGGTTAACGAAATCCTAACATCCTCAGAGGGATCCCAACAGCCCCAAACCACTCGACCCGTTCGCGTGCAGCCTTTGCAGGTCGCGTTGGTGCCTGTCATGCAGACGGCTGAGGGCTTGCCCAAAGGGTCCTAGGTACTGTTATGGGGGATACTTTCCCAAATCATAATAGTAATTCCTAATATAGAAACCCTGCATTCTGCTATAGAGGTACTTTGGACCCTTTGGGCTACAAAGGGTTTAGGCCTTGGGGCTGGGGTCTTCGGGTTCCTTAACCCAGAGGCTCCATATATAGTACCATTATGGAATTAGGTTCCTAAAACCTTAATAAGGATAGTCTTTTGGGGCCTAATTCCATAATGGTACTATATGTGGAGCCTCTGGGTAGTTAAGGACCAAAAGACCCTTAAAAGTACAGGCCCTATACCCTTATACTATGAAGCCCTATATGGTACATGAACCTTAAACCCTTTTAGGGCTCATGTCGTCTTTTATAGTCTCCATTGTAGTTCCTCTTTTTGGGGTTACCTTTTTTGGTGTATCCAAATCTATATTTAAGGATCCTACAAGGTAACCCCCAGAAGGAACTACAATGGAGGCTATAGGTAGGGCAAGCCTAAGATTTAGGGTACGCCTGGACCTTCCGGAACCTGTCTTTTAGGGTTCCTTAGTTCCCTTAAGAAGTGACTTCCCTATAGAAAATGTCCCTTCAATTGCTTAGTTGCTGAGTTCATAAGCACATAAATAAGTATACATTCTCAGATCCTATAACCCCAAGAAGATTATTAAAGTGTAGTAATTCAGCTACAGTACTAAGACATTTCTTGGGGCTGGTGGGGTGCAGGAGGAAGGTCGAGAGTTCAGGGTCGTAGGGCTTAGAGTGTCAGGGTTTAGGCTTTTGGGGTGTAGAGTTTAGGGTTTTGGTTTTAGGCTGTTGGGGTTTAGGGTTTAGGCTTTAGGCTTTTGGGGCTTAGGGTTTAGGCTTTTGGGGTTTAGGCTTTAGGGTTTGTGGTTTAGGCTTTTGGGATTTAGGGTTTAGGGTCCGCGATTTAGGGTTTTGAAGCCTGAATGCAACTGCTTGGAGTGGCCTGCAGAAGGCCTGACCCACACGGGTAGTTCTCTAAGCCAGGGTCCCGTTTAAGCTTCTTTTTACAAGGGTGCCGTGCTATTTTGGGGAACTAACAGGGACCCTACTTTAGAGAACCACCCACATCGTGGGAATTTTGATCTAGGTCTCGCGGTGCCTTGTCAAGGTTCCGCTAGAGAGTTCCTGGTTTGGTCTCCCTTTAAGGCTTCCTATCAGGGCTCCTTTTTATGGATCTTTTTTTGTGGGGGGGGGCTTTTCAAGGGTTCCTTTTATGGCTTCCTGTAAGGGTTCCCTTTAAGGGTCCCTTTTGAAGCTCTTACAGGGTCTCCTCATTGACTTTAGGCTTAGGTTTCACTTCAAACGGCTCCCTAAAGACTTCAGGGATTTGGCTGCTTGCTTCTTCTTTAACCCCCTAACCCCAAAACCCTAAAAACTAAGCCCTAAACCCCAAACCCTCAGCCCTAAACCCCAAACCCTCAGCCCTAAACCCGAAACCCTAAACCCTCAGCCCTAAACCCCAAACCCTAAATCCTCTGCCCTAAACCCGAAACCCCAAACCCTCAGCCCCAAACCCTAAATCCTCTGCCCTAAACCCGAAACCCTAAACCCTCAGCCCCAAACCCCAGAGTTTCGGGTCCCAGAGTTTCGGGTTCAGGTTGCTCGCCCCTAAACTCCGGGGACCCTATCGGGGTTTAGGGCTTAGGGGGTTTAGGGCTTAAAGGGTTTAGGGTTTAAAATTTAGGGGTTTAGGGTTTAAAGGGTTTAGGGGTTAGGGTTTAACATCTGGGGTTTAGGGGTTTTGGGTTATGGGAATTGTGGTGGTTTGAGGGCGGTATCTTTTGCTGCAACTTTCACAAGGACCCCTTGTAAGGAATAGAGTTGACTAAACCCCAAAGCCGAAACCCTAAACCCAAAACCCAAAACTCTAAATCCTAAACCCTAAACCCCAAACCCTAAACCCTAAACCCTAAAACCCCAAGCCCTAAACCGTCCAGGCCTCTATTTTACAGGAGACCTTCCGAACCCTACAGCAAAGTAAGGTCAGCAGGATCCCACTGCACCGAAACGTAGCACAACACAACCCCGACCCAGCCGTAAACCCTAAACCCTAAACCCTACTTGGAGGGTGGGGGGGACTTATAGGGTTTAGGGTTCCCACATAGAGTGGTTTTATATGGGTAGTACATAGTGGGCCACAAGAGGCTTTGGGCATTTTATGAGGGTCGCGTGAGGCTTTCCAGGGTCTCTTGCTAGTCACCGTCTTGAATAAAACCTAAATACCCTAAAACCTAAAACCTACATACCCTAAATACCCTAAACCCTAAATACCCTAAAGCCCCCTCCATTCGTCGCCCATCGCCTCGCGAGTGGCATCGGAACTGGTCGGTAGCTCGCCCGGCGATCGGAACTGGGAACTGAGGGCTTAGGGCTTTTTGTGGTTTAGGGTTTAGGGTTTCGGGTTCAGAGGTTTAGGGTTTAGGGTTTAGTGGTGTAGGGTTTAGGGTTTAGGGTTTAGGGTTTAGTGGTTTTGGGTTTAGTGGTGTAGGATTTAGGGTTCAGGGGTTTTGGGTTTAGGGTTTCGTGGTGTAGGGTTTAGGGCTTAGGGTGCAACGTTAGGGCTTTTTCGTATATGGTACTATAAAAGACAAAAACGGAGCCGCAAAAAATAGTACAGGAAATTATTGAGGCCCCTACATTGATTATTTTGTCTTGGGGAATTGGGGTTAAGTTAGGGCTTGGGAGGGCTGGGGATCTACGACGTCTGGTTCGGGGCCTAGTCGTCCTCCGGGTTTTGGGTTTGGCCTTGAGAGCTTCATGAAGGGGCCTTACTGACTACGTAGAATATGGTTTCGGGAAATATGAAACTATGAACATCAAAATAAACCCCGAATATGGTCTTGGTTATTATTTAGGCCCGTCTGTTAAGACTTCTGCTGTAGGCTTTAAGGGTTTAGGACCCCCTCCCCCCCTCAAAAAAAAAGAGGCAAAGCCGGGTCCAAGGCCTGGGATGTGGAAGAGCTCCCCTGCCGGGGACTCGGGGGTCGGTCGGGAGACTTTTAGGGTTTAGGGGTTTAAGGGTTTAGGGGATAAGGGTTTAGGGGCTTAGGGGTTTAGGGGGTTTAAGGGTTTAGGGTTTAAGGTTGAACGGTTTAGGGTTTAGAGTTTAGGGGTTTAGGGCTTCAGGGGTTTAGGGTTTAGTGGTTCAGGGGTTTAGGGGTTCAAGGTTTAGGGTTTAGGCTTTAGTACTTAGGTTCCCTAAAGAACCCCTTAAGGAGATCCTGAAAGGGATCTATGAGGGTTCCATAAAGGGGAGGGTCAGGGCACTTAGCACTTAGGGTATATAGACCTATAAGTACCATAACCCGAATTGAGTTAGTTGGCTATGAAGCTCGAGCGTACTGCCTCGGGGTCTAGCTGCGCGACCTTCTTCTTTGTAGTCACCCCGAACTCCGCTGCTATTTTCATGAGTGAATCAACGTCAACTGCTTTCGCATTCTTGCGGTAATGCGGCACTTCCTTCGAAGTAGTAACACCATAGCGAAGCAAGAACGGTGTCCCAACCTTGTCATTGGCGATTGTCTCCTCCTCAACCAAGTCGATGTAGGTCGGATCATGAGCCTCATAGTCCGCTATTGGGTACTCCAGTACGGCATCCCTAATAGTGGCCGAGAGCTTGAGCCCCTCAGAATTGAACCTCTTGTTCTGCTTCCTGAGTGGCCGAAACACCGTCGCACACTTCGGGCAACCAAACGCTGTGGTTGCTTTCTCTCCACACGGACAGGTCTTCACGTCGGGGGGAATCTTGGTTGCCTCAAAAAGCAGTTTCGTCTTAACTTGGCCATCACCATAGTTCTTCTGCAAGACGGCTGGCTGATATAGCGGCATTTTGATTTCCGGCAATTGGTCCTCAAGCTTGATGATCATGGGGGGGTTAGGATCCATTTTAGAGTACTTATACGTCTACTTACGGTTGATGGTATAAATCCTGCATTACCCCTAATAAGGAATATACCATAATTCCCATAGATTAGGGTCCTTAAAGTAGTGCAGGATTTCTATCATCAACAGTATTCCCTACTTACTAAATCCCCGACAGGGTTTAGGGCCGCAGGTTTAGAGTAAGGGGCCTTTTGGGCCTTCGGGCTTAGGGTTTAGGAGTTTAGGGTTCAAGGTTTGGGCCTCAAAAGGTGGGATGACGGCAGGTGGGGAGCAAGGCCCTGCAGAAGGTATATGTTTACACATAACAAGGAATACGTAGTTCTCTGTAAATAATATTCATCAGGTATGCTCTCGATATCATGTTACGGAAGACTTCTCCATTACATATAACTTCATACATAACCGTCAGTCATTCGTTAGGTAAGACTTACGAACATGTTGCGGCTCCTTCGGCCCTTAAGAGCCCACACAACACACCCTAAGGGTCCAGGTGCCTAATAATCATAATACTAACCTACAAAACTACTATCCGTAACCCAAGTATATGATTATTAGGTCCTTTGGACCCTTAGGGAAAGAGCTCTCACCGCCGATCCTGGGATGTCTCCAATGGCGTCGCCTCCTGCGCCACAAAGCTAGGTTAAGGGTTTAGGGTTTAGGGTGTAGGGTTTAGGGTTTAGGAAGGTGCTCGGCAAAGGGTTCCTTAAGGGGTTCCTTTAATGGGTTCTTCAGCGGTTCCTTTGATGGTTCCCTTGAGGGATTCTGATTCTTACACGGTTCCTACAAGGAGTGAACATTCCAACCTTACCCGAAAGGCCTATGTATCCATATGAGTCTAAGGCCTAGTATGAACTATATCTAGATCTAAAACTATCTATCTATCTATCTATCTATCTAACTATCTATCTATCTATCTATCTAACTATATATATATATTTTGTGCATGGACCCTCACGGTTAGTTTCTGGGCTCAGGATTGGATCTTTACAAGAACACTGTTGATGACAGAAATCCTGCATTACCTCAAGGACCCTAAACTCTGGGAACTATGGTATATTCCTTATTATGGGTAGTGCAGGATGTATCTCATCAACCGTAGTTTTACGGCTAGGAACTGTGATATAGAAACGTATAGCACAGTCCCCTAAAACATGGGTAGTGTATGACCCTCGCGGTCGGTGGTATATATATATATATAGGTCCTTGTGCCAAGGGGCCTTCTGTTCAAGGCGTATGTGGGGTTGTGCCGGGCATGTACTTGCAGCCTCACACCTGCGGGCTATACCGACCCCAAGCCTAAAATCCCCAAAACTCTAAACCCTGAACACCTAAATCCCTAAACTCTACACCCTGTACCCTACATAAACCGCAGACCCCAAACCCCCAAACTCTAAAACAACAGGGCCCCTAGGCCCTAAACTCTAGTCTATACCCACTGCCCTGAAGCTGCCTGCACCTCCCGTCGGCGGCGGAGACCGGTTGCAAGGCGAGCCTCCGCACTGTGAGGGCTTATAGGGTTTGGGCTTTGGGGGTTCAGGGGCTCATGGGTTTGGGTTTAGGAGTTCAGGGTCTAGGGTTTAGGATTTAGGGGTTCAGGGTTTAGGGTCTTGCGTCTCGATATGTATCCCTGCGGGTCCAACTGACACGACAATAGGTATCTATGAGGGTCTTTGCAATGATGCTCCAGCAGGATGTTTACAAGGGTTGGAAGAGCCCGTAAATTGGGTTTTTCAATTTTGGATAGTAGTCATGAAGCTTAGAGTTGTGTGGGAGTATCTGATCCTTTGGGTAATGCATGTAATGCATGGCAATACATGTGCTCTACGATGATCCCACATCCAAGGTTCCACTCGGAGGGTCGAGTCGAGGAACTTAGCAAGTTTAGGGTTTAGGGTGTGGGGCTTTGGGGATAGTACCCCCCGACCCTGGAAAGCAGACCCCAGTCCAGATACCATCCTCCGCAGTTTTTGAACTGATGATATTCGGGCGGTTCTCAAAATTAGGATTGTGCCGTACTATATTGGGGACCTACAAAAGGACCCGAATTTAGAGAACTACCCATTTAGGGCTTGCAGAGGTCAGGGTTTTCGGCTGGCAATCCCAAACGGTCCCAAGAACCTGTATGGGAGATACTTCGCAACCAACGCAGATTTCAAGATCATCGGGGCATGGCCAGCCAGATCTCCGGGCAGATTGGCGAACAAATCTTCAGGCTTCGAATGGGTTTAGGGTTGAGGGTTGAGGGTTTAGGGAACAGCAAAGCGAGCCGAGGGGATGATGGATGGTCTTGGTGGTTGATCCCGGGCTTTGGTGGTAAAACCCTTCCTGTCAAGAATGAATAGTGCTGAATGAAGCTACCACGTTGTGGTACCCTGGCCGTTAATAAGAATTACTGAATGAAAGCCAACTATCTACTATATCATCGGAGTTATATACCCATTCGACCATGAACCACAATCAAAAGCCCAGAAGGGTGAGGGATCAAAAAACAATTAAATTAGGGTCCCAGTTTCAGCTGCCTGAGCCGCAAGATCACGCGCCGAAGCCACTGGCACAGGGGCCGGTGGTGGCGCAGCAATCGGGCCTGGAAGGGAGCTAGGCTTAAGGGTTACGGCTTAGAGGTGCAGGGTTTAGGCCTTCGGGGAGTAGGGCTGAGGGCTGATAGGGTTTAGGGTTTAGGGGATTAGGGCTTGGGGTTTAGGGTTCAGGGTTCAGGGCTTAGGGTTTAGGGGCTTATAGGGCTTTGGGGTTCCAGGGTGTAGCGGACTCCCAAACCTCTTCAGCATTCAAATGTAGAGTGGCCCATCGTCTGATCTAAGCTATACCCATAGGCCCCTAAGTAGTTCCTTTTTGGGATTACCTTATAGGATTCTAAATCTCAACCACAAATACGAACTACTTAGGGGCCTATGGGTATTCCTGAGATGTGACGAATGGTGTTTACGAAAATGGGGCTGCTCGTGTTCCCTTTGCGCAGCTTCCGGGTCTTAAGAAACCCGAGCACCCATTCCTTAGGTACTCGGACCGCTGGTGTAAACCATTTATCACTACCTCAACCTACTCAAACCTACATTTTTGTAGGGTCCCTATCAATTTCATATTAGTAGGGTTTATAATCAGAACCCTACAAAAAAGTCGGTTATGGTAGCCGAAGGTATAACCCTTCATAGCCCCAAAGTCCTGAAAAAGCCCAATATCATCCCCCATCATAGAAGCAAGCAGAAATCGCTGGGTTCTTGCTAAGGAATGTAGTTTACGATGTTACAATCAAGAAACCCTACTGTTTACTGAAGACCACCATTAATTATGTTAGCTTAAACTAACCCTCAGGGTCCAGGTGCCGAATGGTCATATACTCTCTCAACTACTAACCCACGCACTACTATCATAAACCCAAGCACCTCATTATTAGGTCCTTTGGGCCCTTAAGCCCTAGGCCCTAAAAGCTTAATCCCCAGACCCTAAACCCTATAAACCCTAAACCCTAAACCCCAGACCCTAAGCTCTAAATCCTAAACCCTAAATCCCTAAACCCTAAGCCCTAAACCCCAAACCCAAACCCCAGACCCTAACCCCTATAAACCCTAAACCTTAAACCCCAGACCCCAAACCCTATAAACCCTAAACCCTAAACCCCAGACCCTAAACCCTATAAGCCCTAAGCCCTATAAACCCTAAAAGCCCTAAACCCTAAACCCCAGACCCCAAACCCTATAAACCCTAAACCCTAAACCCCAGACCCTAAACCATATAAACCCTGAGCCCTATAAACCCTCAAAGCCCTAAACCCTAAACCCCAGACGCCAAACCCGAGGCCCCTTAAACCCTGTAAACCCTAAACCCCAGACCTTGAACTTAGTTGCTGAGTTCATAAACACAAAAAAAGTGTACATTTTCAGTTCTAGAAGGGATCATATTATCCCAAAAAAGATTAAAGTGTAGTAATTCCGCTACGAAGCGAATCATCGCAACTCAAATCCCAGACTCCTGGAGGTCGAGGTGTCGAATCTCTGGGGGTACGTGCTTCGGGTTTAAAACTGCAGGGCTTTAGGGCTCTAGGGCTTTAGGGCTTTTT